CACGTCCCCCAGTCCCACTGTCCCTCCCGCTCTCCCCAGGAGCTGGTGGCCTTGGCCAAGTTCATCCTGGGCAAGTTCTTTGCGCTGGCGGCCACCAACAAAAAGGCCTTTGTGGAGCTGCTCTTCTGGAAGAACCCGACAGCCGTCTACGAGATGACCAAGGGCTACAGCTCCCTGCAGGAGGGAGAGGGGTGAGTGGGGTCGGGGAGGGGGCTGTAACCCCCCCGAGCCCCTCTCCTCTCCCCTCACCCCTTCTCTGCCTCGGCCCAGGGCTCCCAGGAGCCGGGTGCCCCCCTGGACCCCCCAGGAAGAGCAGGAGCTGCGGGAGCTGTACTGGAAATACAAGGAAGTGGAAGGTACTGGAGGACCCTGGGGGGGGGGCAGTGGGACCCCCGGGGGGCAGGGGGGGCTCTATCCCTGCACCTCCTCTCCCCAGGTGAGGATGTCATCGCTGCCATCCTGGCCCATCTCCCGACTCCCGGGCGGACGCGGAGGCAGGTGGTGAAGCAGCTGGTGCAGATGGGGCTGGCCAGCAGTGCCAGGGACTTCCCACGGGAGAGGTGGGTCAGGGATCCCCACGGGGAACCCCCGGGCTGGGGCAGGGACCCACCTCACCCCGGGCAGGGACCCACAGCCGTGTCCCCCCCCAGGAAGGGCACCCGCATCGTGCTGTGGACTCAGGAGCAGGAGGAGGAGCTGACGCGGCTCTTTGAGGAATTCCAGGGCTCGGATGGTGAGCGGGGCCGGGGCGAGCAGGGGGTGGCGGCCCCCCTGTAGCCCACCACCCTGACCCCCTGCCCCACAGATGTCCTGGGGAACATCATGAAGCACCTGACGGCGCGGCGGTCGCGGGCTCGGGTGGTGGAGAAGCTGCTGGGGCTGGGGCTGGTGTCGGAGCGCAAGGAGCTGTACAAGAAACGCCGGAGAAAGAGCCACGGCCACGGGATGGTAAAAGGGGGGCCCGGGGGGTCCTGGGCTGTGCCCAGTGGGTGCTGCTCCACCCCAGGCACCCGAACACGGCTGGTCCCCGCAGGCTGCCGCCGGTGTCCCGGGTGTGCCAGCCCAGGACAGCTCAGCAGAGGATGAGGACAGCGAGGAAGAGGAGGAGGACGAGGAAGATGAAGTGGAGGAAGGCCCCATGGAGGAGAACTGGGCACCCGAGGAAGGGGCTGGGCAGGGCCTGGCTCAGCATCTGCATCAGGAAGGTGGGCGAGGGGCTCTGAGTCCCCCCTGTTGGGCTTGGCTCCAGGGCCGGACCCTGTGTCACCTCCTGCTGTCCCCAGGCCTGGCCGGGCCCCTGCGGTGGCTGGAGAACTGTCTGAGGAGGGCGGCAGGGGACCGAGAGGAGGACGGTGAGCCAGGGGGGATCGGGGGGGGCTGTGGGCTCGGGGGGTCCCGCTGACGGTGCTCTCGGCCCAGGCGTGTCCCACCCGGTGCCGCTGGTGCCGCTGACGGAGGAGAACGAGGATGCCATGGAGGATCGGCGCTTCCAGAGCCTGCTGCGGCAGCTGGGGCTGCGGCCCCCCACCAGCGAGCAGGTGAGCTCCCTGTGCCCAGCCCTGTGCCTGTCCCCTCACTCCTGGCACAGCCCTGCAGCATCCCCCCTCTCTTCCCAGGAATCCTTCTGGCGCATCCCAGCTGCCCTCACCCCGCAGCAGCTCCGACGCGCGGCCGCCTCCGTCGCCCACCACGGCCCCGACCCCTCAGGGTCCCCCCGGGACCTGCCTGGGCCACCCAAGTGCCCCCAGGACCCAGGTCCAGGTGAGGGGCCGGGCTGGGGGTGTGGGACCCTCACCAGTGGGGACGGCCCCGAGCCCCTCTCCTTGTGCCCCCCAGCAGAACAGCTGCCGGCAGAGCTGGGATCAGACTCGGAGAGGTGAGATCAGGATCCTGTCCCTGAGCTGGGGGTCTCTTCTTCCTGATTTGGGGGGTCTTCCCCCTGCCTGGGGAGGGGATTTGGCCCCCTGTGCTCTCCCAGTGTGGGGCTGAGTGGTGCCAACCCCTGTCCCCGTGGCTGCAGTGAGGAGCCGGTCCCCGTCCCCAGCCCGGTGCAGTCGGGCACCAAGAGGCGTCGGGAGCTCGACAGTGAGGATGAGGACGGTGGGAGCTCGGGTGAGTTCAGCCCCTCTGCTCTATCCTGTGGGGCTGAGGGGGCTCTGGGTGTCACCAAGAGCTGGGCACAGGGCACTGCTGGGTCATGGTTGTCCTGTCCCCAGCCCCTTTGCCCCGTCCCTTGGGCTGGGGAGGCGGTGGAGGGACAGGGGTGTACCCCCGCTCCCTTCACCCTCTGGCTGGGGGCTCAGCTCCCTCCCTCTTCCTCCACCCACAGGTCCCAGGCTGGCCCCTGCAGCCCCCTGCTCTGAGGAGGATGAGGAGGACGAGGACCCACAGCCCCGGGGGAGGCGGAAGCGCGTCCGCTGCCTGGAGGAGGAGGAGGAGGAGGGTTGAGGGGCTTCCCTTGTCTGCCAGGCCCAGGCCCTGGGCTGTTTTCTGGGGTTTCTGCAGGTTTTCTGCGGGTTTTGATCCTGTTTTTAAGGGCTGCACAAGCAACCAGTTGCTGCCCCTCCATCCCCTTCCCCTGGTGTCTTCATCTCCCTGTTTTGCCCCAAACTCCCGTTTTTCTCAGCTGTTTGGGTTTGTTTTCCTTTTAAACCTTTTGAATCTGGACAGGGCCCAAATAAACAAACGTGACTCTTGCCCTTCCTTGGTGTGTGGGGCTGGAGGGAGCTGGAGCTGGGGGGGGGTCAAGCTGCTCTGGCCACAGGGGTCGAGCTGCTCTGGCCACAGGGAGTGCCCCGGCCCTGGTCCTTGTCCCTGCACCGGGCCCCATGTGTCGCAACCCCCTGATAACAGTGGCTATAAAGGGGCCGCAGGGGCCGCACGGGGCAAAGGACAGTGGCATCTGGCCAGGGCAAGGAGCAGTGACAGCGGCAAGCGGGTGAGCTGGGGACACTGGGGGGTCACGGGGGGCTGTGGCCGCAGGGGGCTGACGGGGCTCTGCCCTTCTCCTGCCTCCACAGCCAGTCCCGGAGCTGCCGCCATGCCCTGGGTTCTGCTCTTCCTCCCACTCCTCTTCCTCGGCCCCGCTGTTGCTCTCTCTGACAACGAGGACCCCGGGCTGGGTTCCGGTGACCGGGCACTGGTGCGGGCACTGCTGGCAGAGCTGGTGGGTCCCGTCCCGCCGCAGGCACGGGGGGTCCCGTGCCATGACCTGGGCCCCAACGCCCTGCCTGGCTTTGCCCGGCTGCCACCAGAGCCCCACGCCCTGGCCCGCGCCGCGCTGGTGCTGGCGCTGAACGGGGCCAGCTGCGTGGCCGAGGCCGAGGCCGAGGCACTGGGGCTGGCACGGGAGCTGGGCACCCCCACGGCCGCGGCGCTGCTGCGGGGGCTGGCGCGGGTGCCGGGAGCCCCGGCCCCCCAGCCCCTGTCCCTGCTCCTGCTCAGCCTGGCGCGGCCGGGGGGCTCTGCCTGTGCGGATCCCACCCGGCTCCGGACTCCTGCAGCCGGCGCCCAGCCCACAGCACCCTCGGCAGGGAGGGTCCCCAGGGCCTGGCTGTCCCTGTGCCACCGGCTGTCCCGGCGCCGGCGGGAGGACGAGGGTGAAGCTGAGGACGCCTGCAACCCGCCGGGGGAGCAGGAAGCCCACCGGGTGCTGGAGTGGGTGCCGGGCGTCAGCATCTTCTACAACCTGGGCACCAGCATCTACTTCGCCTTCCAGGGCTGCGGGGCCGTGGCCTCGGAGCGGGCGCTGGAGGCCACCGAGGACCTGGGCTACGCCGGGCTGGCCGCGCTCACCGGGAGCCTCGGCGGCCCCGTGGCCGTGGGGGTGCAGCTGGGGCTGCAGCCGGGGCTCAAGGCTGGGGTGCGGGCGCTCATCGGGTACTTCACCTCCGCCGGGGACCCCCCGCCGGTGCCCACTGCCCACAGCGGCTCCGCCATCATCGTCTGAATAAAGGCCACGTGCGGCAGCTGGCGGCGTGTCCCTGTCCCTGCGGGATCGATGCAGGGTCACCCTGTGCTGGGGCACAGGGACCTTGGTTCTGCACAGTGGCCCTGCTGAGCCACGTGGTGGCAGCTGCTCTGTCCCTGTCCTGCCCAGCGTTCCAGGCCCTGCGGCTCTGTCCCCACTGCCCTGTCCCCATGTCCTGTCCCTGTCCCCATGCCCTGTCCCCACGGTTCTGTCCCCATGGCCTGTCCCCATGTCCTGTCCCTGTCCCCATGTCCTGTCCCTATGCCCTGTCCCCACGGTTCTGTCCCCATGGCCTGTCCCCATGTCCTGTCCCTGTCCCCACTGCCCTGTCCCCATGTCCTGTCCCTGTCCCCATGTCCTGTCCCTGTCCCCATGCCCTGTCCCCATGTCCTGTCCCTGTCCCCATGTCCTGTCCCTGTCCCCACTGACCTGTCCCCATGTCCTGTCCCTGTCCCCATGCCCTGTCCCCACGGTTCTGTCCCCATGCCCTGTCCCCACGGTTCTGTCCCCATGTCCTGTCCCTGTCCCCATGTCCTGTCCCCACTCCCGTTTAGGGCCGCCCGTTTCCAGCCCCCCGACGGTTCCTCGCTGACCACGCCCCATCTGGCCACGCCCACACCGTGACGTCAAATCGGGGAAATGCGGAACCCTCTGAGTCTCCGCCAGAGGGGGCGTGGCCTCGCTTTCGAGCTCCACCAATCACGACGCAGATTGGGGAAGGGGCGTAGCCTCGTCGCCGCTCTCCGCCAATCACGGAGGAGTGGGTGTGGCGTCCGCGCCTTCCTGACCCGGCAGCGGCCGAGGTGGGTCCGGGAGCGGGGGCTTCTCGGGGGGTCCAGGGGGGTCCCGGGGGGGTCTCGAGCCGGTCTCGGCCGGTCTTGGCGTTCCCGAGGTGTCCTGGGGGACGGAGGGTCCCGGTGGGTCCTGGGTGAGGGGGAGTCCCGGGGGACAGGGGCGGCTCCGAAGGGTCCCGGGGGACGGGGGCTCCCGGGGGAGGGGGGCACAGATAGGGGGTCCCGGCGGGGACACGCAGGGATCACTGTCGGGTGGTCCCTTGGGGGTGTCCCCCTGGGGGTGTCCTCCTGGGGCGAGAGGTGTTTCGGGGCACCTACTCCCGGGATCCCTGCGGGTGCAATGGGGGACCAGGCTAGGGGGACCTTGGGAGGAGCCTGGGGGGCTGCACAGGGGGTGCAGGGGGCCCTCGGGGTGGGGCGTGTGCCCCCACCCCAAATGGGAAACCCACCGTGGTTCAACCCTTGCCCGGAGCAGAAGGACCCCCGGGATCACCCGGGGCCGAGCTGGAGCTGAGGGACCCCCAGGACCCCCGTGCTGCAGGTAATGGGGTGCGGGTGTGCCAGGTCGGGGCACGTGGGCACCGGTTCCACATCCTCCGGTTGTGCAATGACCGGGGGGTCCTCGGGGCCCCCCCTGACTCCCCCTCGCCCCCCAGCATGGCACAGTGGCAGGAGGTGCAGGGCTTGGCCAACACGTACCTGGAGCAGGTGCACCAGCTCTACGCGGGCTCGGAGCTGCCCATGGCCGTGCGCCAGTGCTTGGCCGCCTGGATCGAGGACCAGAACTGGTAACGGGGGGCCGGGGCTGGGGGGCTGCACCGGGGGGGGCACGGGCCGTGCCAGCGCTGAGCCCGCCGTGCCGCAGGCGCCAGGCGGCCGAGCCGCTCTCCTCCCAGGCCCGGATGCTCTTCCACTCCTTGCTGATGCTCCTTTCGGAGCAGCTGGGCAGCCTGGGCACGAGCCGCGAGGATTTCATGCTGAAGCACAACCTGCGCAAGGCCCACCGGGACCTCCAGGTGGGCATCAGGGCCAGGGTGGGGGGCTGAGGGAGAGGGGCCGGGGGGGCCTCTGTGCCCTGCTGACCCCCCCCCACCCCTCCACAGGCCGAGTTCGAGGAGAATCCGGAGAAATTCGCCAACCTGGTGGCCAACCTGCTGCAGGAGGAGCAGCGGATCTTGCGCCTGGGGCAGGCGGGGGGGCAGGTAGGGCAGGGGTGTCCCCCCCTCGCCCCGTGGGGTCCTGGGGCCGCTGCCTGACACCCCGTGTCTCCACAGGGGGGGTTGTCCCCGGCACCCACCGCGCCCCCGGAGAGGGGCCGGGAGCAGCAGATCCAGCGGCGCTTGGCCGAGTTCCACTCGGCCCTGCAGGTAACGGACCCCCCGGGCCCCCAGGCCCCCGGGGGCTGCCCGGGCCCCCCTGACCCCCCTCTGCCCGCAGGAGGCCGAACGCGCCTTCCGGCACCTGGAGGACCTGCAGGACGCCTTTGACTTCTGCTACAAGGTGCACTACCAGCCAGGTGAGCCCCATCCCGAGGGAGAGGGGGGATGGCACTGCCCTGTGCCCCCCCCGAGCCCCCCCGAGCCCTCCACTCGCCCACAGGTCAGGACAGGAACAGGGACCCCCAGTACGCCCGGCAGCTCCAAGCCCTCCAGGCCAAGCTGCAGAACCTGGACCAGCAGCGGCGGGTGAGGGGGGGCTGGACTGGGCTTGGGGGGGCCGTGGCCGCTCCTCACCCCCTGCTCAGACCCACGTCTGTCCCCAGGAGGTGCTGGCTCAGATGCAGCAGCTTTTGGGGCGCAGCGAGACCCTGCGGGAGCTGCTGCAGCAGGAGTTGGGGGACTGGCGGGAGCGGCAGCAGCGCTCGTGCCTGGGGGCCCCCGTGGACACCAACCTGCGCCCGCTGGAGACCTGGTAGGGCCGGGGTGAGAGGGGGGCACGGGGGGTCACAGCCGTCCCCCGCTGAGCCCCGGGGCACCCACAGGTTCACGGGGCTGGGCCAGGGGCTGTTCCAGCTGCGGCAGCTGCTCCGGGCACTGAGCGACCTGCGGCAGAAGGTGACCTACGAGAGGGACCCGCTGGCAGCAGAGACCCCCCTCCTGGAGCAGCGGCTGCAGGAGCAGCTCACACACCTGCTGAAGAGGTAGGAGAGGGGATGTAAATGGCTGAGCTGCATCAGGGTTAGATATTGGGAACAGGTTGTTCCCCCAGCAGGTGGTCAGGCACTGAACAGGCTCCCCAGGGCAGTGGTCACAGCACCAAGGCTGCCAGAGCTTGGGGAGTGTTTGGACAACTCTCTCTCAGTGCATGGTGGGATTTTGGGGATGTCCTGTGCAGGGCTAGGAGCTGGACTTTGACCCTTGTGGGCCCTTACCAACTCAGGGTATTCTACGGTTCTGAGAGGTGGGGGCAGCGTGGGTGGGGCCGGGATGGTACCGGGGCACCCCTGACCCCCCTCTGTGCCCCAGTGCCTTCGTGGTGGAGCAGCAGCCCAGCACCCCCAACCCCCTGAAGCGCCCGCTCGTGCTCCGGACTGGCAGCAAGTTCTCTGCCCGCGCCCGGCTGCTCGTGCGGCTGCACGACCGCAACCACCGCATGGAGGCCACGATCCACATCGACAGGTCGGGACCCCCACGAGCCCCCGCCCGCCCCCGGGGGTCCCGCTCCCCCACTGACACCCCGCTCTCTCTTGCAGGGACCCCCCCAAGGTCAAAGGGTGAGAGCCGGGCGAGCGCTGGAGGTGGTGGACAGGGCTGTGCCCCCCCCGCCCGGGGGTCTGGGACCCCCCGCCCGCCGCCTCTTCTCTGCCCCGCAGGTTTCGCAAGTTCAACATCCTGACGTCGAGCAGCAAAACGCTCCTGGCCGGGGACAGTCCCCAGGAGGGGCTGGTCTGCGACTTCCAGTACCTCGTAGGGGCCCCCCCAGACCCCCAGCACCCCCAGGGCGGAGAGCGGGGCGAGGACCCCCGCCCAGCCCCGGCCCCCGCCCCAGGCTGACTCTGTCCTGCCCCACAGACGCTGAAGGAGCAGAAGGACAGCAGGTCTGGCAAGGGCAGCAAAGGTGCCGGCGAGGTGGGTGTGGGGCTGGGGGCTGTGGGGACGGAGGGAGGGGCCGGGGCCACGTGGTGACCACAGTAACACCTCCTTACAGAGTCCCCTGGTCGTGACAGAGGAGCTGCACCTCATCACCTTCACGCTGGCCTACGCCTACTGCGGGCTGGAGCTGGAGCTGAAGGTGAGGGCTGGGGGGCTTGGTGGGCCTAGGGGGGCTGGGGGGCTTGGGGGAGGCTGGAGGGCTTGGGGGATGCTGGGGGGACTGGGGGTTGCCAGCCTGACCCCCACACCCCCCACAGACCTCCACACTGCCCTTCGTCATCATCTCCAACAACAACCAGTTCTCCAGCGCCTGGGCCTCCATCCTCTGGTTCAACATGCTCAGCTCTGACCCCAAGGCGAGCAGGACCCCCCAGCCCTGCACTGCCCCCCAGTGTTCCCACCCCTGCCATCTCCTGCCCCGTGCCCCCCTGTCCTGGTCCTTGTCCCGTCCCCCTCCCTGCTCCTCACTAATCTCCATCCTGTGCCAGGTTCCTGGTCGCTGTTCCTGCTGTTGATTCCCCGTGCCCTCTTCCTGGTTCCTGTCTCACCCCCATCCCCTGATCACTGTCCTGTACCTGTCCCTTGGTCCCTGTCCCTGGACACCATCCCTTTCCCCAGTGGACATCCCCATCCCCTGCCACACATCCACATCCCCTGATCCCTCTCCCATCCCCGTTCCTGCCCCGTGTCCCTGTCCCTGCTCACCCCCTGTCTCGCAGGACCAGGACATTTTCTCGGCGCCGCCCCTGGCCCCGTGGCCCCGTCTGGCCGAGGTGCTGAGCTGGCAGTTTGAGAGTGTGGCAGAGAGGGGGCTGAGCCAGGACCACCTCCTTATGCTGGGCGAGAAGCTCTTTGGTAAGGCTGGGAGCCAGCCCCGACCCCCGGGGGGGACACGGCGGGGACGGGGCTGTGCCGTCCCCCTGCTCACCCTGCTCTCGCCTCGAAGGCTTGAAGCCGTCACCAGGGAGCACCGTGGCCTGGCCCAAGTTCTCCAAGGTGAGCAGAGCCTGTCACCCCTGTCAGCATCCCCCCATGACCCTGCCCTCTCATCCCCCCATCCTCCCGTGGCCCTGTCCCCCCCAGCCCCTCTCACCCACCCTCTCCCTCAGGACGGCGCCGGCTTCTCCTTCTGGACTTGGTTGGACGGGATCCTGGGGCTGCTCCAGGAGCACCTCAAGCAGCTTTGGAAGGACGGGTAGGAGCAGGGCTGGGGGCTGGGGGGGCCCGGGGGCTGCAGGGGCTGACAGTGCCTCCCCCAGACTCATCCTGGGCTTCGTGAGCCGGAAACAAGAGAGGAAACTGCTGAAGTCGAAGAGAACAGGGACGTTCCTGATCCGGTTCAGCGAGAGCATCCTGGGGGGAGTCACCTGCACCTGGGTGGAGCATCCTGAGAGTGGTGAGTGCACCCCCACAGCCCCGGGGTCCGGCCCCTCAGCCTGCCCTGGGCACTGACCCCTGGGGGGCCTGCAGGATCCCCCACTTTCCATTCGGTGGATCCCTACACGGCGGCCGAACTGGCGTCCCTGGCACTGCCCGACATCATCCGTGATTACCACATCATGATGGAGGAGAACGTTCCCGAGAACCCCCTCCAGTTCCTGTACCCCGACATCCCCCGAGACAAGGCCTTCGGGCCCTACTACAGCCAGCGGCAGGAGGGTACGGCACAGCATGGCACGGCCTGGCACGGCACAGAGCAGGGGCAGCACCTGCCACCCCCTCTGATCCTCCTCTCTTCCCCCAGGGAACCTGACAGAGCCAGAGAAATACCTGAGACGGCGCCTCATCCGTGTGTCCTCCAGGTGAGGCAGCCGAGGCCTCGGTCCCCCTTCCCCGTCCCCCATCTCCCCATGGTCCTGGACTTGGTGACTTGGACCCCACAGGAAAGGGGATGCCCTGACCCTGACCCTGACCCACTGTCTCTCCCTCCAGGCAGGCAAATAAGTCGTGGCAGACGGAAGAGGAGCTGGTGGTTGCCACTGAAAATCTGGAGACGCTGCAGCTGCAGTCCAGAGGACAGGGCACACAGTGGGATGGTGGCCTGGTACTGCCACAGTCCCAGAGCCCAGGGACACCACAGGTCACACCAGAGGACCTGGGGACACCTCAGGGAGTGGCTGTGAGCCCAGGGACGCTGCAGATGGTGGCCACGAGCCCGGGGATGCTGCAACCCAGGGGCTTGGGGACACTGCAGTCGGGGTCCCAGTGCCTGGAGCCACCACAGCCACCACAGGTGGGATCAGAGGTCTCAGAGGTGGTGGTGCAGGTGGTCCCCAACATCCAGGACACAGTGCAAGTGGCACTAAAGGCTGTGGGGACTATACAGGTACTGCCTGGGGGGGCGGGGATGCTGCAGGTGGGACCAGGGGACTTGGGGACACTGCAGGTGCTGCCAGGGGACCAGGGGTTGGTGGCTGTGGACACAGGGATGCTGCAACAAGTGGGAGCTGTGGACACCGGGATGCTGCAACAAGTGGGAGCTGGGAACACGGAGATGCTGCAGCCCAGACCAGGGGCTGTGGAGCCACTGCAGGTCACTGAGGGCCAGGAGATGCTGCCACCAGAGCTGAGGGACCTGGAGCTGCTGCCCAGGAGCCAGAACATCCAGGAGCTGCTGCAGTCGCTGGAGCCAGGCTCAGGGACGCTGGAGACACTGGAGGTGGCAGAGCTGATGCCAAACATGCCGGAAAGCTTGGACGGGGGGCCCCAGCTGGACCCTGGGCTGGCAGGTGAGTGCTGGGGTGAGGGGTGCACCTGGGGATCCCAGGGGTGTCTGGAGTTCCCTGGGATTCTCAGGGATGCACCTGGGGATCCCAGGGATGCACCTGGGGATCCCAGGGGTTCTAAGGGCTGTACCTGGGGGTCCCAGAGGTGTCCCCTCAGCACTGACCCGTCCCCCCTCCCCTCCCAGGTGCCGCCGTGCTCCTGGGCCATCGTGACCCATTCCTGCCACAGCCCGAGGACTTGGCTCTGCCCACTGTCAACTCCCTCTTCGCCTCCACCGACTTCCCCCCGCTCCACATCGATGCCAGTGACTTCCAGTGACTCCCCCCGGCCCCTCCCCTGTAAATAAACCCCTTCCCACCCCCCGCCCGTGCTGCCCATTGCGCCGCACGCGGGAGCCGCTTGTCTTCTCCGGAGCTTTATTAGAAACTCATAAATACCCGAGATAAATAGGGAACGTGGCACATAAATAACCCTTCGAGAGGGAGGGAATAAATAGGGGGGTGGGGAGCCCCAGGGCTCAGCGGGCACTGGCGCTGTGGGTGAAGACGCGGCTCATGACGGCGGCGAAGGAGCGGAGCCGGTTCAGGGCCAGGTGCCGGAGCAGCCCGTGAGACCAGTTGTTGCTGGGGTCCATGGGGTGCCGGGGGGGGTGGCCGTGCTCCTGCTGCGGGGACAGAGGTGTCAGGGGGTCCAGGGCCACAGCTGATGGCACCTGTGTCCCCTGACGGGTTCCCTCGGGGCTCCCACCCTCCCCCTCACCTGGACGAGGCCCAGCAGCTGGTCCATCGTGGTCTCCAGCTGGGGCTGGGGCTGCTCCCTGAAGATGTCAGAGCCCAGCAGGTCCCGGTAGTGCTGGAGTGCCTGGAGGATCCGGTGCAGGCAGCGCTGTGGGGGCCAGGGGGGTGAGATGGGGGTGTGGGACCCTCCCACACCCCTGGGCACTCTTCGGAAGCCCAGGTACATCCCTCAGTATCCCTGGGATCCTCAAACATCCCTGGGACCTCCAGGTGCATCTCTCAGCATCCCTGGCACCCCCAGACATCCCCAGGACCCTTAGACACATCCCTCAGCATGCCTGAGACCCCCAGACATCCCTGGGAGACCTGGACAGCTTCAGAATCCCTGGGACCCCCAGGCATATCCCTCAGCTTCCCTGGGACCCCTAGTCACCCCTGGGACCCCAAGGTGCATCCCTGAGAGCCACAGAGCCCTCCCTCAGTGTCCCTACAGCCCCCGCAGGCCCCTGTCCCTGCAGCCCCCCAGCCCCCGCAGCCCCCCAGCCCCCGCAGCCCCCTGTACCGTGTTGTTGGTGTCCAGTGTGGGGGGGTCACAGGCGTCACTGCAGAGGATCCGGGGGGGGCCAGTTCTGGGGGTCCTCCTCGCTCAGCTGCATCTCCTCCTGGAGCAGGGGGTCAGTGGGCTCTCCACGTCCCCCGGGCCCCCCCGGCTCCCCGCACCCTCGGGACCCCCCTCCCACCTGGATGCTCCGCACTTCCCGGTGCCCGCCGTCCCCCGTAACCCCCCGGTCCCCCTGGCCGAGCCCCCCGCGCTCACCAGCACCGGGTGCGGTTCTTTGACGGTCGCCAGCAGCCGCGACAGGTCCCGGGAGAGGATCTTGCAGGCGGCCCAGTCTGTGCGGGACGCCGGGGCCGGGGTCGGGGCCGGAGCCGCGGGCGGCGGCAGCAGCAGCGGGAGGCAGAGACAGAGGCAGAGGCGGCGCAGCGGAGCCATTCCCGGTCGTTCCCGGTCGATGCCGCCACCGGCGCTGCCACCGGGTACTTATGGGGCGGCGGCAGGTGGGGAATCCCCGGGGCAGGTGGCTCCCGCCCCCCGTTACTGCGAAATCGCCTCCCTCGAAAGCAGAACCGATACCGGGCCGGGGTCCCCTGGCCGCGCCCGGCCCCGCTCCCCACCGGGACAGGACGGGATGGGACGGGACGGGCAGGAAAACCCGGGGCAGTTCCTGGCGGCTCCGCGCCCAGCGGGATGGGAGGGACCTGCACCGGCACCGGGACCTCCCCTGGGTGCACCTGGGCTGCCCCCGACGAGCGCACCGGGGAGCCCGCGGCGGTGTCACCTCGGTGGATCCCCCGTTGTGTCCCCCCGTGTCCCCTCCGGTGTTCCTCGTGTGTCCCCGCGGTCTCTTCGGTGTCCCTCCCGGTGTCCCCCGTGTCCCCCGGCCTCCCCGGGACATCAGCCGGCGGCTCCCCGCGGCCTCGGGGGTCCCAGCGGGGCTCGCCTCGCCCTCGCGCCCCCGGGTCCCGCAGCCCCGGTCCCCTCCGGGCCGGGCCGGGCCGTGCTGCCCGCAGCGCCGCAATCCCGGCGGCCCCGACGGGGCGGCTCCGGCGCTTCCCGCTCCCGCCCGGCGGGGCTGCCCCCGGCCTTCCCCGGGCATGGACACCGGCGGCGGGGCTGTCGTGGGTCTGGGAGGGGAGACACGGGGGAGGCCGGCGCCGGTGGGGCTCAGCACCGCGGTGCGCTGTCCCGGGGACTCCCTGGGACCCTGCGGGACCCCGTGGGACACCAGTGGATGTGTGGGATGGCAAGAGACTGCGTGAGACACTATGGGGCGTTTAGGGAAGCTTTGGGATCCTGTGAGGTGCCACGGGACGCGGTGGGACCCCTGGGATATTGTGGAACCCCGTGGGACACTGTGGGACTCCGTGGAACAGTGGGACGCAGTGGGATGCTGGGGACAGCGTGGGACACTGTGGGGATTTTAGGGACACTTTTGGGATCCCGTGGGGTGCTGGGGGGCAGCGTGGGACCCCGCTGATGCTGTGGGATGCTACGGGCTGCTCCGTGACACCAGTGGACACGGTGGGATGCCAGGGGCGTGCGAGGGACACTGTGGGTACTTGGGGACATTCTGGGATCCCGCGGGGTGCCAGGGCACGCGGTGGGACCCCATGGGGCACTATGGGGCACCGTGTCGTATTCGGGGAGTTAGAGAACAAGGTGGGACCCCGTGGGGTAAAGTGGGGTGTCCGGGGACGCTGCGTGACATCCGTGGGAGTCCATGGCCCGCCGCAGGTGCCGCACCGACCGGCAGCGCCCGGGGGTCAGCGAAACACCCGGGAGCTGGGGGGTCCCCCGGGGCTCCCCCGCCCCGCCCCGGCCGCATCCAGCCTTTCTGACCCCTCCGCCGCCCCGTCCCACCGCCCCGCTTAGTCCCGCCCTGCCCGGGCGCTGATTGGCCCGTGCACGGCGCCCCGCGCTGCCATTGGTCGGCTGGCGGGCGGGGGGCGCGGTTGCCGTAGCGACGCGGGAGCGGCCCCGGCCCGGCCCCGGCGGGACGAGCCCGGTAGCGCGGCCCCGGCCCCGGCGGCGGCTCGGTAACGGCGGGCGCGGGGCGGGGAGGGTGGCGGCCGCCCCGAGCTCGGAGAGAGCGGCCGCTAGGGCCGGGTCCGGTGGGGCCAGGACCCTAGTGCCTCGCCCAGGGCTGCCGCCGCCGATACCGCCGGCGCGCTCGGTGTCGGCTCGCGGAGATAAGGGCGGAGGGTGCGGAGCTTAGCCCGGAGTCCCCGGGGGTGGGGCGGGGCGGGACCTCGAGCTCCGGGAGCTGCCGGTACCGGGCGGGGCTCGGCTTCCCGGGCAGCCTGGGACTATTGCCCCGTGCCCCGGGGAGGCTGCCCGATATCCTGGGCCCCCTTCCCGGTTCCTCAGGCAGCTTCCCGGTGTCCTGGGACCACTGCCTTGTTCCCTCCTGCCCAGGGGCCACCACAGGCTCCTCACGGCCATGACGGGGCTCTGAGTGTGTCCTGGGGAGGGACTTTACAGCCCCGGTGTCCTCGGTGTCCTGGCAGAGCCCTGCACCCCACACTCACTGGACATTCCAGTTGCCATTCCCATCCCCGGAGTCACCGATTCCAAGAACCGGTGGCTCTGGGTGTTCCTGACCAACCACCTCCAGTTCCTTTTCTGTCCCAAAGGCCACCGGGATTCACCATGAATTTCGAAGGGCTCAACCCCTCCCTGGCCGAGTATGCGCCGCCCCTGCACCCGGCGCTGGACCCCGTCCTGGACCCCCACCTCAACCCCAGCCTGGTGGAGCTGGACCCCGAGGGGGTGTCCCTGGAGGGCATCCCAGTGCCCGAGTCGGTGCACCTGATGGAGGGCATGTACAGCGAGCTCCACACGGCCGTGTCCGAGGTCGGGGTGCCCGTCTCCGTGTCCCACTTTGACCTGCATGAGGAGATGCTGTGGATTGGGAACCACGGGGTAGGTGGGGAGGTCACTGCAGGGAAACCTGGGGGGCAGGGAATTTGATGGAATTGTGGAATGGTTTGGGTTGGGAGGAAGCATAAAGATCATCCAGTTCCATCCCCCTGCCATGGGCAGGGACACCTCATACTAGCCCAGACTGCTTCAACCTGGCCTTGGACACTTCCAGGGATGGGGCAGCCACAGCTTCTCTGGGAAATCCATTCCAGCCCCTCCCCACCCTCACAGGGAGGAATTTCATCCCAAAATCCCATCTAAATCTCCTTCTTTGGTTTAAAACCCTTCCCCCTTTATCTGCCCATGTCAGTTCTCAGAGCATGGGCCTCCTGCTGCTTCCCAAGTCACGGCTGTGGGACTGATGGATCTTTTGATTCCTTACTGGTGTTTGCATCCAGGGAAAAGTCTGACCGGCCTCCCACAGTCTGGAGCACCCAGGGGGGGCCAGGAGATCCCCCCATAGTCCGGCTGAGCTGTGAGGCTGCCGGTAGCTGCCTCCTCCTGGGAGCTGGCGCAGGACAAAGCGACCTTCACCTGTGTCATATCCCTGGGACGTGGGGTGGGTTGTGATGTCCCTGCCCCTCTGTGTTCAGGGCCATGCCACCTCCTTCTTCGGCCCCACGCTGGAGCGATACTCTTCCTTCCAAGTGAACAGCAGCGATGACATCCGCCAGATCCAGAGCCTGGAGAACGGCGTCCTCTTCCTCACCAAAACCAACCTGAAGTACATGTCACGGGGCGGCCTCATCATTTTTGACTACCTGTGAGTCCTCCCCCTGCTGCCCCTGTGCTGGGGGGCGGTCCTGGCCCCTCTGCCTCCCTGCCACCCCTTCCCTGCTGCCTCCTGGAGCCAGGCAGGAGCGTGAGGGTGTCCCGTCCTCTCCCACAGCATGGATGAGTCCGAGGACATGCACAGCCTCCTGCTGACGGACAGCAGCACCCTGCTCGTGGCTGGGCTGCAGAACCACGTCCTCGAGATCGACCTCAACACTGTCCAGGAGACGCAGAAGGTACGGCTGGGCCGGGGGCTGCTCCCTGGAGCTTTGCTCCAGGGCTCATCCCTGCTCATCCCGCTTCCCTCCCAGTACACCGTGGAGGTCCCCGGCATCACCATCATGAGGCAATCGAACCGTTTCTTCTTCTGCGGGCACACCTCGGGAAAGGTAATGCCAGCCCTGTCTGACCTGCCAGGGTACCCTGGAGTTGGGGTCTGTCTCCTCCCAGAGCTCCAGGGGTCTGGAGCGGGCGCCTGGCACCCAGCACCGTCCCCCCCAGGTGTCCCTGCGCGACCTGCGCACGTTCGTGGTGGAGCACGAGTTCGACGCCTACTCCGGGAGCTTGTCCGACTTCGACGTCCACGGGAACCTCCTGGTGACCTGCGGCTTCTCCAGCCGGATGAACGGGCTGGCCTGCGACCGCTTCCTCAAGGTCTACGACCTGCGCATGATGCGGGCGACCACCCCCCTGCAGGTCCACATCGACCCCTTCTTCCTGCGCTTCATCCCCACCTACACGTCCCGCCTGGCCATCATCTCCCAGACGGGTGTGTGAAGCTGCGGCCCTGGGGGTACTGGGGTGGTGGTCCCGGCATCCCCAAACTCGGGGTCAAATCCCAGGGGATTCAGCCTGGAGCAGAGGAGACTGAGGGGAGACCTCGTTGCTATGTACAACTTCCTCGGGAGGGGCAGCTCTGATCTCTGCTCACTGTGACCAGCGATGGGAGCTGAAGGAACTGCTGGCGCTGTGTCAGGGCAGGGTCAGATTGGATCTCAGGCAGAGGTTCTTCCCCCAGAGGGTGGTTGGGCACTGAACAGGCTCCCCAGGGCAGTGGTTGCAGCCCCAAGGCTACCAGAGCTCCAGGAGCATTTGGACAATGCTCTCAGCACGTGGTGGGATTGTTGGGGTGTCCTGTGCAGGGCCAGGAGTTGGGCTGGAGTTGTCCTTGCACTTGCTCTCCCACAGGCCAGTGCCAGTTCTGCGAGCCCACCGGGCTGGCCAACCCCGCCGACATCTTCCACGTGAACACGGTGGGGCCCCTCATCATGACCTTCGACGTGTCTGCCAGCAAACAGGCGCTGGCCTTCGGCGACTCCGAGGGCTGCGTCCACCTCTGGGCCGACTCCCCCGAGGTCACCTTCAACGCCTACTCCCGGGAGACCGACTTCGCCCTGCCCTGCATGGTGGACACGCTGCCACACCTGGACTGGAACCAGGACCTGGTGCCGCTCTCGCTCATCCCGGTGCCGCTGACCAGCGACGCGCTGCTCTCCGACTGGCCCGCCGCCAACTCCGCCCCGGCACCGCGGTAATTCCCAGCCCCTCCCGGGAAAAACAACCTCTCCTTCCTCCTCACCTGCCCTGGGAAGTGCCCGATGAGTTCCTGGCAGTGGATGGGAATGGCCGAGGGGCAGCGACTGGGCGGGTGTGAGGACGGTGGGAGACAGTCAGACCTCAGTCTTGCTGATGAGGAGATCCCAGTGGGATCCCAGCTCCGTTCTGCCTGTGTGAAAACTCTTGTTTTCCCTCTGCCTGTCCCTGACCCGCCTGTGCTCAGCGCTGCTGCCCTGCCCTGGCATAACCCAGGGGGTTTGTTGGGTTGGAAAATGAACCTGGGGAAGGACTGAGGAGGGGGAGCACTCGGGACCACCCTCAGGGTGGGTCCCTGAGCACACTCAGGAGGCCTCTGGGTGGGTAAGAGATGCTGCTCTGACTCGGGGGGTGTTGTTTGCAGGCGAGCCCCCCCAGTAGACCCCGAGATTTTGCGAACCATGAAGAAAGTGGGATTCATTGGCTACGCCCCAAACCCCAGGACCAAGCTCCGCAACCAGGTACCCGCTCTCAGCAGGGGGTTTTGAGGGTGTGGGGTGGTGTTTCCTGCGCTGGAGCTCTGCAGGTTGGAGGAGGGTGGAGCTTGCTGCGTGCTGAGCGATCTCTGAGGTTTCAGGGACAGGGATGAGAGGCAGAATTCCCGTGGGATGTTGCAGGTGTGTAGTTTGGAGGTGTCAGCTTCTCTTGAGCAGAGCCAGTCTGGCAGTTTTCCCAGTTCCATCCCTCCCTGGCTCTGTGGCAGGGAAGGCTTGAGCTGTCCGGTTGGGAGGTTCATGGCATGTCCCTCACCCTTGGGAAAACACTGCCCATGGTGCCTCTGTAGTTTCCCACAGTGACAAATCCCTGTGAGAAGGAAGGTGTGGAGACCTCGTGCAGGTCCAGGGAGGGCCCCACTCCATTCTGGTGTATCCCTTTGCTCATTCAGGGAGGCAGGAAAGCCCAAGAGTTGCTTGTGTCAGTACGTGGGGCTTCTCTCCACCTCAGGGTTTAGCTGCTTATCCCTTCTCTC